AGAAAAAAAAAAACAACAAAAAAACCCAGCAATGTGTTGTGTTGAAAAAAAACCCCAAACTGTCAGAGTTTCGGTGGCAGTGCTTCAAAAGAGAGAAAAATATCTCTAATGGTGATGTCATCTCCACTACCGCTGATCTCAAGCATGCGGCGTCTCACTAGCACACACATCCATGACTGCAATAACATGCCAGTCATTCCAGTGGTAATGGATGCTCTGTGTGTGTCTGCGCGCAGCAGCACGTTCAAGTAACACACCAAAGTGAAACACAACACAAAAATAGCAACGCATACATCCCTTCTATAAATGTTTCAATTTGGTAAATGATTAAAACTAACCGAGAACAGTGATCCAGCTAACATACACCACAGAGGATGGTTCTGAAAAATCAACTCTAAATGTGACTCTAATGACAACAACACCAGAGAATCCAGTGATCACAAACTGAGGGAGAATAAACCTGAGATGCTGCACATCTCAAATCCACATTCAATTCTGGCTTCAGTCTCGTCACTGGTGGGAAAGTGATGAAAGAAGTGACTACAACCGAAACCTTAAAGCGAAATGAATGCTACAAATCATATCTGAACCTCTCTCAGGCGCGGGTGCCTACACACACGCACGCACACACACACACACACACACACACACACACACACACACACACACTCTCTCTCTGTCACACTACATAGGGGTTCTGGCACACAGCTACAAGCAGCTGCTGCCTGGGGGGGTTGCAATGTACGAAACTGCAAAGTGCAACTTCAACATAAACACGATTGAAAGTCTAAAGCCTTGCAACAAACAATATGCAAATTTTGAGTTATTTTGTTCTGCAACAAAGTGTCAGTGTGATGATGACCCAGGCCAGGCCAGGTGGGGAAAAACCTGATAATAATTAGTAACACAATTAGAAACCGAGTGTGGATAAGAAACAGTTAAATGATCCTAATAATGCAGGTTGAGAACATGTCAGTCAGACTCAACCCCCACTCTCTAATCTGTAATCTCTGGAAAGGCTTCCTTGTAGCACAACTGCAGTTCATGTAAGGTAACACACACACACACACACACACACACACACACACACACACACACACACACACACACACACACACACACACACACACAGTTATGTATTTACCTGTGGGCTGTCAATAGCTTCACTAATAAAGGGGCTAAATCTGCTTCACAGTAAATGTGATGTTCACTGACTGACTAAGCAGTGAGAAATAATGAGGGATATTTTGAGCGAGTGTGTTTCACTGTGCCCTTCATAAAAGCAAGCTCTAACAGGAGAGCTGTTTTCAGCCATCTCCGAGGAATGCGCACGCATACACACACACACACACACACACACACACACACACACACACACACACACACTTACCGTTACTCAACCTTTTCAGTAATTTCCTGAAGTTCCCCTCTTGGCTTATTGTGTCAGAACAATGAGCTACAAAGGTGAGGTAGGAAGTAATCTGCCAATCATTTGTACAGGAACAAACACACACACACACACACACACACACACACACACACACACACACCAATACTCAATAACTGTATTCACCTGTGATCTGAACACCCGATACATGCCAGGACAAACGTGTTGCTTTATGGTGGAGTACGCTGTCACACCCAGCACTTACCACTGTGTAAGAACACCTGAGGAAGTGAAGGTTTGGCTGTTGTCCAAACAGAGCCAATGTAAGCACCACACCTTTGTTGACACGTCACTCGATACCAGTTTGCTAATTGGTCCTTTACCCAACATTTAACCTGTGTGTAATTCACACTCCTCACACTTGTGATACCGTCAGCGACTTTATCTTTCTTTTCTTTCTTTTCCTCTGAGCTCCACTGTTGTACAAAAACTATTAAAAACACATTAATCCCACACACACTACGTGTGTTAATCCGCAGTTGAAAATAGTCCCTAACAACTACACTATTGACTCCAGTTTGAGTCATGTTTGCTAAAAACTGCAGTGCCCAGCCGTTTTAGGAAACAACTTTGCCGGTTTCAAAAATGAAACTATACATTTGTGAGCTGTGTTAACAGATTTACGAGATGGACTAACACACTGTCAGCTGCTTTTGGCCTATTCATTGGATTTATACCAGTGAGAAATATAGATCCTTTGCCACTTCCTTTACATGCGATGACATGTATTTATACACCTCAGGATTATCACATTTATGGTGAGAAACAAATTCCTTCAGACCTTTTCAGCATCTTAGCTGTTTACTGGAAGTAATGATCTGCTTAAATGTTGCTGCAGAGAAAAAGACCTACAGTGGCAGACAAAGTGGAACCAGATGGTCTACTGAGGACATACTACTTTGGTTCAACAACTTGTCAACTTCCTCTTAGTATTTCATAAATATAATGTGTAACCCATTTTTCCCAAACTCACAAATGCACCGACATGAGAAATGATGTGTCACAGTGTGTTTCTGGATCGGCATTAGGCAGTTAGTTTACCCTGAAACCCAACCACAGGAAACACACACATACACACAGACAACACGAGTCACAGTTCCTGTCGTCACCCAAAAACAATGCTGAAACAGTGAAAAATTCAACAGGAATGTGTCCCTGTGTGTAATCCACAAACCTCACTGTGGACACTTTATAGTGACGTCCTTCAGCTGAAAGACGTTCCACTGAAAATTGCTCACAGTGAGGTCCGTGGAATATACAGAGTAAGCAGAGCACTGATACTCAGTATTTCAGTTCTCACGCTTCGGGCGCCACATATTAAATTCCACTGACCTCCACTGCTCTGTGGTCACAGACATGGATGGATTATGAGACCCAGTCTATAACCTTACCCTGCTTATAGTGTCCATGCTGGATATTAAGAGAGACGGCCTAAATCCTGTCCGGGACTTACTTCTCTCTACACATATTACACTAAATAATGCAGGATAATATACAACATATTATAGAAAAGCATCAAAGCAAAAGGTGTGATGCAGGTTGTATTTTCTTAGCTATCCGACTGGCAAACACATCAATGCACTGCATTTAAATATGGAGTAATTAAGAAAAAGAATTACTGGCACTTCGCCACTCCACTCCTGACTGAACCCTGTCTTTTTAACATACATAATAACATAATAACAGAGAGCTCCAGGTTCAGAAATGTCAGAGTCACGCAACAGTAACTATGAAGAACAACATTATAACTCTGTTGGATTTTCCTTGTGTCTTAGACTCAGGCCGAGTGCGCAAATGGGACTTTTGGTTAATAACTTAGTTCCTGAGTTTAATCCCTGTGGTTTCATAGTTCCTGGAACTTTTTGGTTGAAAAGTAAGAAAACGTTTTTTAAATTTTTATTTTGTTGGGCCATTATAAGCGCATATGACGACTAATACCACTCCCAAAAACACTATGTTCACTGCTACACTTCTACTGCCAATAATAACAACAATAACACAGTATATCCATGCGTACTACAACATCGGTTCCCTTCCTTTTTCCTCCACATAGGGTACATGTCCATGTGTAACTTCGCTATCAGCTGTGTTGCTGAGGGGGAACTTCTTCCCATGGTGCAGCTGTCTTGAGTGCACGCTCCACAGCCACCAATGCACTAATCTCTGAAGTGCTGCACCGCTGTGTGTGAACATGTGTTTATGTATGGGCATACACTGCATATATACGTACATATATACAGTGCTGTGGACACACAGGTGCAAAGAAACATGTTCACGTATGTCTAAACACAACAGGAAGTGGTATTCCACTCTGCTTGTGTTTGCACAATTATTTCAAAACAACCAAACACACACACACACACACACACACACACACACACACACACACACACACGAGCGCTGAGTGAGGAGGTCTCTAATGTGCTTTATGTGCTCACTGTGAGGATGTAATATAGTAAACACATGTTGGACGGTAAAGAAAGATGCACGGAGAGGAACAGCCTGGGAGAAACACTGACAGATGGACGGAGGGAGGTGCTGAGCGATGCGTGACGTCACGTAATGTGTTTAAGTTGAAGAACGACAGAGTGATGAGGAAGAGGAGGGAGGACAGAAGATGGGTAGTGTTTAGAGTGAGGGAGGAAAAGGGGAAGAAGGGGGTGAGACAGAGGGAGAGATAGATGATTGTGGAGAAGAGGGGAGGAGGTGGCTTTACACTGCAAATAAGTATTTTTTTTTAACAGCATCTAATCAGCTCATAAAAATATTTGGGGGCATGTTTCTGTCCACCTGGTGAATCTGTTTTCTGGCTCTTTAGCTGCTAAATGTAAACTTCACGTCTAATGAAACAGCTCATTTGTGTTCAAGGTTATTAAAACCGCAACCTAAAACTGCCTTCTGATATGATGCCATCATGTTTTTTTAACCCGTTATTTCTACGTTTACTGGAAGGCACCAAGAATAATAAAATCATTTCACATGTGAAGTCTTATCAGTCTCACCTACAGCACAAGAAGTAACCAGTATTTCAAGCAGCAAACACACCCACAAAAGAAAGTGAAAGAATTTACAGCGCTGTGTGTGTCTGTGTGTGTGTTTGTTTGTGTGTGTGTGTGTGTTAACAAGCAAGCGAGTGAGAGACAGAGAGAGAGAGAGAGAGAGAGAGAGGGAATCTGCTTCATCTCTACAACTATTTGAAATGCAGAAGTCACATCATTCTTATTAGCTGCGGTGTTGACAGGTTGGCAGGTGAAGAATACAACAGAAGTACAAAGTGTATTTATGAGTAATTGTGTGTGTGTGTGTGTGTGTGTGTGTGTGTGTGTGTGTGTGTGTGTGTGTGTGTGTGTGTGTGAGAAAGAGATACAGCAGCATTTATTTATGTACGTGTGTAAAAAACTGCATAAAAAAGAACACGAGAAAAACAGAAACAGCGACTGATTGTAATTAATGAGAGAAAACATCTAGAAGTATGTGTGGTCTACCTGTATATGTGTGTGTGTGTGTACTGTATGTGTGTGTGTATGTACTGTATGTGTTTGTGGTGTTGTACCAGTCTTAGGCGAGGATCCAGAGACGCTGAGCGAACACTCCATCTTGGCTGTTTTCGACGGATAAACACTGGTGTCGTCTGATTGGATGGCAATGGAGAAGGATGGGCCTGTAACAGCAGCACATGAGCTCTGATGAGTTTTATTTTATTTTATTTTTTAAATTTGACATAGACAGAAAACATCACAGACACACAACTGAGATCAAAAGGATTCATTTAAACACCGACTGCTTTTAAACCTACATATGCTACGATTCTACATTCATGTCCCTGAGGAACGGCAGTCGATGCGAGGAGTGTTCGTGCTTTCAGATGGTAAACACTGCTTTTAAGTCAGTTTGTGATTTCTCTGACATGCTGAGATCAACAGGGAGGAAACAGCTGTAGTGTAGATTGAAAAAAAAAAAAAAAAAAATAGATTAAAGTTTTTTAACATGTTCATACAGTCTGTGTATGAGGAGTTCTATAAATAAGGTAAATGTTGACAGCCGTGCAGATACAAAATCAAAATGCCATTTTCAGGCATTGAAACTAGACTCAGAAGCTCTCCATTAGCAAAGCTGACCCCGCCCCTTGTTGATGACATCTTACCAAAAATTCAGATTTAGATCAATTTGGATTGAATTTCTCTCTTTACATGTCAAGTGTTGCAAGTAGATACTCAAGGACAAATGGGAAGAAAGGAAAAGCCTACAAGACTAGCTAATGTGTCGTCATCCTAGCCAGTCATAAGTCTGTTATGGCAATAAAGAAAGAATATACTGTAGCTTTTTTGGGGTATCACATTTGCACATTTGGTAGCTCCAGTTGGGTCCAATCAGGTCAGGTCTAATGCAGGTGCAGGACTCAGTTTTAGGCCCATGCAGAGGTCTATTTTTCATGTCAAACTCCACAGTGTTAGTAAGCCAGCCTGGGATGCTACTAAGCTAGCCTAGCACAGCCACAGCAGCTAATACTGTAACTGTGGACTCAAGCGTTGCAGACAGATGGACTGGCAGACACACAGATGGGCAGACACTAGTGAGGTCCACGCTGAATATTATGTGTTTCACAGTGCAGTTTTGGGAAGTCTGTAAAACATGAACTCCACTGCACAAAAGGGTGTAACTGTTAAGCCTGAGAGCAGCTACTGTCATGTTATCATGGTTTTCCGCCGCATTACTAATGCTGTCGTACAGTACTGTAAAATACATGCACTTGATTTGCATAAAAGCAGATGTAATGTTTTAGTCTTGGCACCGAAAAGTCTAATCGGAGCATTCAAGAAACACTTCAGATGACCCAGTCGCAAAGTGTTCCACATAACTGATATTTACATTAGGAAGCATGGATATGAAATTCTGTTAATATTCATTACTCCTTCTTTTGGGGAATCAGTCATTTACTTTGACAGACTTTTAAATCGTCTACAGCATATTCAGCAACTCATTTATGTCTTCTCTCAATTTTTCTCTTCACTTTGTGTTATGAGAACTGTTTTATTTTTTTTTTTTTAGCCGTCTTCACCATGAGAGCACAATGTTTACTGTAAACCGCTGTGAACATGTCGTCTTGCAGCACCACCTGCAAAAACAACTTTCGGAGGTTTGGGGACATGCGGTCTCTGTGGACACCCATCGGCTCTTTCACTACATTTCACAATAAAACAGTGCCTTAAATGTGGGCGAATTGTTATGACATGCCTTTAATTCCACTGTTGTCAAGATGGAAAAGCCTTTGAAACAACTTTCAAACCACTCTGCATTCTTCTCTGCTTCAAACATGAGCAATGCAGAATTCATTACCTCTGCAATAAATAATCAAACGCCATCGTATCCATCAGAAAGCACCATTTCTCAGGCTACTCCACTCTGAGGATGAATGAAGTCTTTATTCTTCGTCTAACATTTACCCAGTTTAAACAAGTTCTTCATCCAGTTACAATAACAACTGTGAAGGTAGCTAAACCAAACTATTTGGATAATACCTTCATCTTTATTTTAACTTCTGAACGAGTGGTTTCAATCACATGACTGAACTATGGTCTCCAGGTCAGTGATGTTAATGATAAGTACCAGGAAGGATCTATTCTATTCTATTCATGAAAATCAGACGAAGGTTGAAAAATAAAGAATTTTACATCAAATCTGGAGTTTTTACTTTTGGCAAAAGGTTATAGATTTAATAGATGTTGGTAAATCTATATACTGGCTTTACTCTAATCAAAGATTATGTCTTTCCTGCGGCCACACCATATTTATGTTGCTGTCCTACCACAAAATCACTTCAACACTGAATTATTGAACAGTAAATGTGCTGGTGAGACTTTGCATTTCCATATACGTCGTCACAGAAGATCCCTGTACAGGCAGAGATACCACAACAAGTCTGAAACATTCAAGATACAGCTGGAACCTTGGGAGGCTTGCCATTCTGTGGTTGTGCTCCGAACACACACACACACACACACACACACATACACAGTGCACAGAGCTTCCGTCCCCTAAGGCAAGTATAAGGGGTTCTTGAAAACTGCTCAGCTTGAAGCTTGAACACTGTCAGTGTGTGTGTGTGTGTGTGTGTGTGTTGTCGAGGAGGGGGTGGGGTGGGGGTGGTGGTTATTGCACTGTGTGGGGTCAACTCAAAATGTTCGACTTGGATACACCCACTTGAACACTTGAAAAAGATCACACACACACACACACACACACACACACACACACACATACACATACACATACACACATGCATAGAAAAGAAAAGGAAAGCAGCGGTGCAGATCTGTGCAGCTGGCTGATTGGCCAAAGGGCTTCACTTTGAAGATGTCCCAGAGAGAGAGGGAGGGAGGGGCGAGAGAGGTAGAGGGAAACAGTGGGGGTGAGAGAGTGAAAGGATGGTGGAGAAAACGGAGGAGGAAAAACGTTAAGTGAGAGAGCGAGAGAAAGAAAGAGGAAGTAATGCTCAAGGGCTCCTGCCCTCCCCAGAGAAAGACAGACGATGGGCTTCAGTCTATCTTCTCTGCTCCTCCTTACTGCACTTTTTTTTTTGTATTCAATATGCTGCAACCCGCCTGCCAACAAAGATGTGCAACATCTCTTCATTGGCTACCAGAGTTTGACTAATTTTACCGAGCAGGCACTCCAGTAACAGCCTGAGCAGATTTCTGAATTGTCCACACAGTATGTTGGAGTAGTTTGTTGGATTTCCCCAATTCAGCACAACAGATTTTGGACTTTTTGGGCAAAAGCTGATCAATATTTGAGATTTTTTGGTTTTGGTACCTTTGGACAGAGCCAGGCTAGCTGTTTCCCTCCGTTTCCAGTCTTTATGCTAAGCTAAGCTAAAAGGTTGCTGGCTCCATATTGATCTCCTTGACAAGGAAGAAAGTAAGTGTATTCCCCAAAATGTCAAACAATCCTTTAAAATAAAATTTGTGGACAAGGCTGTATTATGATCGTCCTTTGTCCCTCCCTGACACTCCACCTTCTTTCTCATCTCTGTTTTTCCTTTACCTCTATCCTGTTTTTTATATTCTATATGTATATTACTCCTAACTTCCTTTTGCGTCTTCCTCCGTTTATCCTCTTCTTTATCTCTCTCCACATTGTTACCATTCTCTCCGTCATCATTGACCTTTGTCTTCATCATCCACTTTCCTCCTCCTCAGTCCACTCCACCACCTCTCTCTCTCTCTCTCTCTCTCTCTCTTCCTCCTTGTCGCCTCCCTCCTCTTCCTCCTCTCCTGTCTGACGCTCCTGTTCCTCCTCCTGTCTCCCACTTCCCAGTCAGATCAAAGAAAGTTAAGTAGGCCAGTGACTGTGGTGGGCGTCAAAGGGCTTAAGGTGTGTTTGTGTGTGTGCATCTTTATTTTTGTACATTATTAGGGAATTTATGTTGGTTATCATTTACTCTGTGTGGGTGGAGGATGTGAGCTCATACCATGTGAAACGTACAGAACTGCTTACACATTCCTATTAATAGACAGTTACCCTAGGATTTCCAGGGTAATTGCAAAGACTTAACATGAATTTAGTCACTTGTATTTGTTCAGGTTGTTATGAAACCGAATAATTAATTGAATGACTAAATGGCTTTAAATGAATAATGAATCTTTCAACAGTGTTATTAAGTATTTTCAATATTTAGTCTTTTGTCATTGTCTTACAGCCTAAAATCAGGATAATTTCATTGGTCTTTATAAGAAACATCTGCATGAGGAACAAGTGAGAGAAACCTAAAGGGTACAATTAAAAAAAGTAAAGCTCTCAAGTTTATTTTAAAGGTTAAACTTGATGTTCCCGAGCATACAAACACTGGATGGATTTAATGATACCGCACTGTTAAGCTTCAGTGGCACCCATGAGCCACTTCAGTCATCGCTATAAAGGAGACAATGGACAGAAGCTTGAAATCAGATTTTTTTTTTCTTTTTTCTATAAAGCTCAAAATTTTAATCCTAACATTTGCATTCGGAGCCGAGAAAGCGCTGATCAAAGACAGCAAAGTAGTGAAAGTCTGCCTGTGGGGTGCAGCTGACCCCTTGCTGGATGGGCTGCACACACACTGAGCTGAAACTTCACAAACTCAGATTTTTTTTTAATTAAATCATGCATCTGAAGTTGGAGGTCTGTTGTGTTATAATCATCATCTAGCAGGTAATACCGACCGGGTGGGAAAAACACGACTGTTTTTGTTTTTGTTTTTTTCCCCAAAACCAACTTCAGACTAATGATTTGAGACTGAAAAACATCTCCATTTACACAGCTACCTTCATCTGTCAGAGTGGGCGACTGCCTCCCGTGATTGAGCCAAACTTTTCTTCAATAAGATCTAATATTATTATATCAGTTGGAAACATTTCCCACAATGCACTAATACAACCACTGATATTACACTAAAGAGCAACCTGTAGAGCTAAACCTCTACATGCTGCTTAACAATGATGCTTAACACATTTCTGTCCTGTCATAGTAAAACCAACCTTACTTAGAAGTTTTTTGCAGCAATGTTCTTTGGGATTTGTAGACCCAACTTTTATCTGCGGACATGTTGCTGTGTTTGTATGTGCAAAATACTGTTTAAATACTGGTGCAATAACAACAACCTTCCAACTTGTTGTACTGGAACTTGGTCAACTCAGGTGTGATGTCATTCCCAGCTCCGACATCCAACTCCCAAGGTAAATAGAACGCTCCATCAATCAAAGCGATGTTTTCAGCTTCGACAAAATACTTAAAAATGTAATGAATGAGGTTGTGTGAGAAGAAATACAAAAAAGCACAAATGGACCCACCATTTTCTTGAAAGTCGATCCTGACTTTGTTAGACTCAGCGCTTGTGGCTTTGGTCCAGGTTTGTCCTGGCTGCTGTTTCGTCCACGCGGTGATGTCGCACCAGTAGTAACCTCTGTCGGACAACTGGACTCCAGCCAGACGAAACCGAAACTCTGCTGGACCGGACTTTGTCAGAACCAGACTGTCTCTGAGTGGACAGACAGAAAGAGGAATACATTTCAAAATAAAACATACAGACACAGGTGCGTGGTTAAGAAGTTATGTGTACATATTTCCATGTAGGTACCTCCTGTTTGGGTCTGTGGCTCCTCCGTGCTGCAGGACGTTGTCGGGGCTGAGAGTCATGATGGTCCTCACGTTGCTCTCCAGGCTCTCCTGCGATTGGATGAGCACCGAGTAGCCCGCCTCCCCAAGGTTCTCAGTGGTCACGGTGCAGCTCATCTCAAAGGTAGCCCCGCCCACTGAGGCTTCACGGATACGTTTGGCCACAACGTTTAGAGTCGGACCTGAGAATACCACCAGTCCATTGATTAATTGATGAATCGACTTTGAGAAGGACATCATTCAGCCCATCACAGGGTCGAGAGGGCGGGAAATCCCCGACGGAGGTCCACAGGAAGTGATTAGTGATTACATCATGAACTTATTCTGACTCAAAGCAGGCTCACACACACACAGACACACTGAGACTACAGAGTTACATCATGGCTCAATTAACTAAATAGGGGGCACCAAGTTCAGCGTGTGGGATTTAAATAGAGAGGATGTGTGTGTGTGTGTGTGTGTGTGTGTGTGTGTGTGTGTGTGTGTGTGTGTGTGTGTTGTGAATAGGACAGAGGCTGAAGCAAGAAGAAGTCTGTTATTATGTTGAGGGATTTTTCTGTGAACTGACATCTAGACATTAGAGCTCATTCATACGACTCAACAGCAGGGTTACTCTGGCTGGCTGGAGTTTTCTCAATCATGAATGTGAGTTAATGGTTCATTTTGTTTTTTAATTTCTCCCAAAAGGTGCATCATTAAAATCACAGAATACAACCTTGAGTTGCAGGATAAATTTTACATGCAGAGATAGCTGTAAAGGTGCCAGCTAAATATTGATTTCCCCGAAGTACAAAAAGAAAACTCTTATTTTTTCTTAGATCTCTTTAACTGTGTTCATCTGCATTCAAAACCTTACAAAGACCAGGCATTTAAAATAAACTGCTTCTATGATTTAAAGTCTTGTAATGTCCTGTTTTTTTGTGGAGAAACTGCAGTTAAATAAAGTTTCCTTACGTTTGGTATCCCATCGTACGGTCGTTGGTGAGCTATTGTACTCAGTTGTCTCCACCATGTCACCCTGGCTGCTGACGCTCCACGCAGACACGGTGCAAACATACTGGCCCATGTCTATCTCCTACAAAGTGAAAAGTTAAAATAAGTCCTATATGAGCTCATATAATGGAACAAGAGTTTATGTTTTTTAACTACTGTGGTAAAGAACTTAGTTTCTACATCTTTGTATTATCTTGTGATTAATTACAAATATTCAAACATCCCTGTAAATCTGCTTAACTTATTTTTTTGGCCACTATGAAAAATAAAAGAAGCTTAGAACACAACACTGGAATATTATTACTTTATAAATAGATATTGCTAGCAAACAGTTGCTAACAGCTGTTTTTTTGGTCTCCACTGTCTCCTGAGAATATCTGGTTAAATGTTCACAAACTACCTGTGTGCGGAGGATCCGCAGCTTGAACGTGTTGGGCTGGACTCTGGTCAGAGACATCGCACCGCTCTTCAGCCGGTCTGAGTACATCGACCCCGGCAACAGGTTGCCATTGCCGTCCAGGGAGCCAATGCGATGTGAGGTCTGAGGATCATCGCCTATACCTGTAGGTGAGTGGATAATGAGTGAGTCTGTAAAAGGTTTTGTAGATATTTCTAACCCGTTAAAGATTTAGACTAAAGCTGAGGTTAAAGTACCAGGGAGTGTGGTGTGCTCCCAGGTGACACCCAGTCGGCCTCCCAGGGGTAAATGGGTGATGTTGGTCACGTGGCACGCCAGTTCTGTGGGTTCAGCTGTCATCTGCGGGTTCAGGACGGGTTCTAGGTTCACTGTATAGCTCGGCTCTGGGGAGAAAAAGTGAGAGAGCTCAAAATTAAACTCATTTTGATTATGTCGTTCAAACATTTAGAAGCTTTAAATGAGGTATCAACAGGGAATCCCCCCCCCCCATCACTGACAATTAATGTTTTTCTGTGCAGTTGGGAACTTTGAGGTTTATGCTTGAATGGGATGTTGCTAATATAACTGGAATGAACCAACACACTCTCAGACTGTACAGACAGAGGGTTAAACCCATCAAGGTCAAAACAATCACAGCTACAGGTGAAGAACGGCTACAATTTGAATTTTGATATTGGGTTCACCACTTGCCACAATCTTTGTCAGTTCCTGAAGCAACATAATCCTAATTTGGACAAAGGGGGTGGAGCTGAGGTGGAACAAGGAAGCAGCAATCACCATGGCTGAAACTCGCACCCTGAGACACTTTTCAGTACCAGCAAACACACAACAAAGTGACATAAACCCAACCCCAAACCTCTGTAAACCCCAACAACTGCTGCTGAAAGGCAGGGGATCGTACCATCAAACAGCTTCATAGCTCAGCACTCTCATCAGCACCATGGAGACAATGCACCTGAATTATGCTCAGTCTTACACAATGCTTGGTCCCCTGTACAAGTAAGTCATGCACTTCCATACCTAAAGGCTGTAGATGTCAGAGATAAGATCTCCAAGGCGCTTTACAATGAAAGACATGACTCCAACTGTAACACATGACTCAAGAGATTTCGAGGGATTGTAAATTCACATCTTCTAAAAAATAAGTTTTAAAATCCATCAGTGATGCTGCCTACGAGAGGATAGAAAACACTCCTCTTCCTTCATATCATTCTCTCACAACTCGTACTGCACCGCATCGCACCATGTATGAACAGAGCCATTATGGAACATCTACAGTATTTCATCTCTCTACAGAGCAACACAGCTTTACAGAGCTGGGCTGGAATGAATATTAGTTTCAAGAGGGGAATCTGTACCCTGATGACTGAACAACAACCTGAAACCTGCTATACCACAGATCGAGTGACTGTGCTCCCTCCAGAGAAATGATTTGCATCCTAACAGGGCTTTATTTTCATCGGTCACCGCCAGGTTTTGTCACTTTACGACAGCCCAGAATCCCCAGACAAATTTCAAAGTGAATCCTGAGCAGGGTGACGGAGCCAGACAACAAAAATAGAGCTGAAATAACACTGTTAACTGTGTGAGATGAGGTGTGCATCACAGTACTAATAGTGTGTGTGTTTGTGCGTGTGCGTGTGTGTGTGTGTGTGTGTGTGTGTGTGTGTGTGTGTATGTGTGTGTGTACAGTAGGTGGTGAGGCAGGTTTTCTCAGCCAGACATCCAGATTGCACCTTTACACGTCAATGAACAGGGAACACACACACAAAGATTACCACCTGCCTAACTGTGAGGTAGGCGACACGCAAACACACACGCACGCACACAGACGCACACAGAAAGTGTATATGTATATATCAGTGACACAAACAAGAGTGCGTTGGCATACCAATTCATTCCACTAGCCAACATGCGCACACGCACACACTATAAACACAAGTGCATACGGAAGTGTGCACATGTGTGTGTGTTTGGCAAAGGAGGGGGTTTGCATGATGTCAGTTGGACGTCACACACACACAGTGACTCATGCACTGTCACCATCTGTTGTGAAACACACACATACACACAAACACACAGACACACAGACTTTGATCGATGAGGGTGTGTGAAGTTGCCCTGCCAATTACGTACGTAGCTCTCTCTCTCTCTCTCTCTCTCTCTCTCTCACTGAAACGTTGCCTTATTTAGCAGAGCAAGTGCTCGACACTGGCTCAGGAGCTCTGCTACTGTACATCAGTTCACCGGCTGTGAGCAAGCCAATACTTACTCTCTAATTCAGAGACCTCACATTCAGCTACAGGAGTGAAACACATGCAAATCCGCAATTTATTCTGATTTCCCAGTTTTTTTTGTTTTTTTTAATCATTTAAAGAGTTAGTATAGTTCATTTTAATCACCTCACAGTGATTTCAGGGTTATTTTGAAGGTCAATCTCATTTACATGCAGCTCAGAGCAGACGAAACAGGTGCTGAATTCACTGCAGCTACAGTGATCAGGTGTTATCAACAATGAAAATAACTGTTGTAGCATGTTTTACTAGGATTATATTGGTTATACAGGTTGCCCCTTGCACAGCCAAATTAGGGAGTTTAGTGACTTTCTCTCATATAGTATACTGTTGCATTATAAGGCATTACCTTCTCAATCCCTGTGGAACCAAACAACAGTTCAAACCCCTGTAGTTCCTCTAAATCTCATGTTAAAGAGACCATGATGCTGCTGACCCGGTGTCACGTCCCAACAGGTGAGTCTGAGCTGCTATTTTCTGACAGTCCTCATTTCTGAGCAGAAATTATGTAAAAACAAGCTTTAAAAAGAAAAAAAAAAAAAGGCTCTATTAGTGTTTGTGGTTCGGGGGAGGCAGAGGGAGGGAAAAATAGGTCAATGTCAATAACACAACAAACGGCTTTCATCTGCATCACTGCATGTGTTCATTTTAAGAAGCTACTCTAAGTTTGAGACTCTCAATCTGATGGCGATTTGCCACTGACTGGTATGTTTGAAATGTTGTCATATCTCATTCAGTATTTCTCTGCTACTTACAGAGAATATCATTAGTAAACGCGCTGAATGTTCAGATTAGAGTATGAAAGCACAACTGACAATCATTTTCATTGCTGATTAATCTACTGGTTCATTAAAATGTCTTGGTTTGTCCAACTAACGGCCCAAAAACCAAAGATTTTCAGTTTACCATCATGGAAAGATAGATAAAAAGAATATATTCACATTTGAAGCTGGAACGGGTGAATTTCTGCAGCTTTTCTTTAAAAAAAATCTAATGTTAGATGTTTATCAATTATCAAAATTGTTGCCAACTTGGTAATAAAATCCATAAAAGCACAATATCAACTGAAATGATGACGGTCTTAAGGAGGCTCCTGAACTTTGACCTAATTTTATGTCCCTATTACAGAAGGGCACCATGTCAAAGTCTGGAATATTTCAAAATAAATGACACACAAGAAACGTGGTGCAATGGTGCAGGGTGTGAGTAGGTTTTACAGCTCAGTTTTGCCCAAGGACCTTGGGCCCCCCATCACTTTGGTCATGGACTTTGTTACCATAACAACGGTTGAACCACATACACAAATGCAGAGTGTTAAAAAGTTCATATTTTCTGTATAAACAGACATGCAAACATCCCCATCCTGTGGAATGTTTTAATTTTTAGACATGTATATCCAAGAATCCATGAAAGCGTAGTGCGCACACACACACACACACACACACACACACACACACACACACACACACACACACACACACACACACACACACACACACACACACACACACACACACACACACAAAAGGAGGTGCAGCCATCAGCAGTTGTGTATCTCTGGGAGTTCAGAAGGTGTGTCACTGGAACACGTTTGGCCTGTGTGTTTTCTGCTTCAGCTGCATGACTCAATGATATTATGTTTATAACAAGCAGAAGAGAGGGACTAGAACCGCTAACCACGGCACTGCCGGTGCCATTGAGCTGAGCAGGGAGTTGAACTCCCAGCCGTGGCAGAGTCGTCGGTCTCCAGGAGCAGAGGAATGCTGTATTCTGCCAAAATAACTGAAGGCATGTGAGACGCTCTGGTTTCACTGGAGTGTGCAGGAGTGTGTGTGCAGCATGTGTGTGTGTGTGATAGGATAACCAGATATGAATAAGCCGCTCGAGCTGTTCCCTCTTTCTGTCAACACTTTGTGTCTCCCAGGACGGAGGGGAAGTACGAGCTGACACATACTGAACAGATGTACAGTCAACAGCACAGATTACAGCTAAAACAACATGTAATCAGATTACTGTGTGTGCAGCCAGATTACAGCAATCTGTTATGACCCATGTCAGGCTTCCGAATGGCTTTGTGTTATTATGAGAAAGTCACCCATTTATACAGATCCAGTATCAGATAAAAGAGGGATAATTGAACATTTATTCCCATTGAGAAGTGCGGGGTGATATTCATAACTTAACATTTTATGAATAAAAGGTGAGTCACTCCTGTTTTGTAAGCAAACAGAGCCAATTTCCATGTTAGATGTTCAAAAATGGAAAATGAGCCAAGACTGTGGTGGCATCCTGTATGATATATAAAGTCTAAATAATAAATACTCCTGAAATAATAGATGAAAAAGTGTCCCTGAAAAATCACTTGCTGCACACAGACAGGCAGAGAAGAAGAGTATGGATGCTAAACAACATGAAACCACTGACTGGAGCTTGATGCAGCCCGTGGTTATGCAAAACCTCCTTAATTTAGCTGCTTGAAATTTCACTGGAGGATAAATTTTCACTGAGTTTAGGAAACTGCCGGAAAAGCTTCAGGAAGCAACTTAAACTGTTTCCTTAGGGAAGAAAAAAATACTGTGTCATACAGTTAATCCTGTATGAAACAGAACTACAGTTACCTCTTATTCAGGCTGTCCTCACACGACCACTGAATAAAGACCAATTAAATTCTTACAGTACATACATTACATTTATAAAAAAAACAAAAACAAAACAGTGAGGTCGAGTTCAGACTGGTATTCCCACAGTGCGAACAAAACCAGCCGCCTTATTCATTGCAATGTGACCCACTGCGTTTGCCATTCAAACACATGCAAGCACACATTCCAGGTAGATGATTTTGTAACAGGAATGGGTTAATTCTGCTGTTTTGACATGACACGCCCCGGAAACCCGTGGATCTGTTACTCAAACTGGAATTCCTGGACCGTTTATTTTTTTTATTTCACCGTCTCACCACTACCTGAAGCAACAAGCAGCCACCGACAGCCCCGTGCTCCATAAACGTACAGCACTTTACCTTATTTATATTCTGGAGACTTAATGAAAAGCAGTGTGTGGCTTTGTCTGCGCTGGACAGGAAGTGTACA